CCTTTTTTATTTTTTATTTTGAGACAGAGTCTTCCTAAGTCACTAAGGTGCCCAGGCTGTACTTGAATTTGCAGTCCTCCTGCCTCAGCTCCCAGAGTGCTAGGATTACAGGCATGTACCACCAATAACAGCATTTTTTTTTAACTTAGATTTTCTTTCATTTCTTTCAGCAATGTTTTGTAGTTTTTAGTGTGCACATCTTTTGCTTCCTTGTTTAAATTTATTCCTAAGTATTTTATTTTTATTGATACTATTGTAATAAAATGTTTTAAAATTTCCTTTTCATAATGTTCGTTGCAGAGCCAGGGATTTAGCTCAGTGATTCCACCATATGTCTTACAAGCACAAAGTCCCGAGTTTGAACTCTAATACCAAAAACAAAACAATACAATAAAACATAATGTTTATTGCAAATTTATTCAAATAAAACTGATTTTTGCATGTTGGCTTATAACCTGCTCCTTTGCTGAATTTATTTATTAGCTCTAACAATTTTATCATGGAATCTTGAAAGTTTTCTATGTATAAAAGCATGCCATATGAAAACACAGGTAATTTATTTCATCTTCAACTTGAATGCCCTTGTCCCTTCTCACCTGTTAGTTTTCACCAGGATGTCCATTACTGTGTTGAAAAGAAGTGGAGAAAGAAGGCATCCTTTTTTTTCCCTGTCTTTGAGCAAAAAGATGTCCCACTATTGGTGTCCCACTATTGAGTATTAGGTTAGGTGTGAGTTTTTTATATATGTTCTTTATTATGTTAAGATCTTCCCTTCTAGTCTCATTTATTGAGTGTTTTTATCATGAAAAGAGGTTGAATTTTGTGTATGCTCTTTCTGCATCAGTTGAGATAATTATATATTTTTTTCTTCAATTTTTTAATGTGTATCATAATGATTCATTTTCATATACTGAACCATCCTTGCATTCTATAATATATAATCCTTTTAACATTCTGTTGAATTTGATTTGTTAGTATTTTGTTGAGGATTTTGCACCTTTATGCATAAAATCTAGTCATGGTCCATAGCTTTCTTGTAGTTTCTTTGTCTTGTTATCAGGTTAATGCTGTCCTTACATAGTAAGTTATAATAAGTATTCCCTCCTCTTCATTTTGGAAGTTTTAGAAAAACTGGTATCATTATTCTTTAGTATAATTCACTACTAGATGGTAGAAACAAAACTCTCCAGTCCTGGGACTTACATAGTTGAGAGGTTTTGATTACTTATACTGCTTTCTTACTAATTATAGGTCTATTCAGATTTTCTATATCTTTTTGAGTCAGTTTTGGTAGAGTATGTGTTTCCAAGAATTTTCTACATCATCTAGTTTATCTAAGTTGTTGGTGTACAGTAGTTCATGGTATTCTCTTATAATCATTTTTATTTGTGTAAAATTTACAGTAATGCCCCGTTTTGCTAACTAATTTTTTTTAAGTACAAAATCAATCCAATGGAAAGGTCATCTTTTCACAAATGTACTGGAGCTGTTGACCATCTATGAACAATGAAAATCTTGACATAAATCACATGTTATGCAAATAACAATAACAAAAAAAATCTCAAAGTAGAGCATAGATTTTTGTTTATTTGTGTGTTTTTGGTGCCAGGAATCAAACTCAGGTCCTTGCACTTTTGAGACAGGCGATGGAACCACTGAGCTAAATCCCCAACTAGATCATAGATTTAAATGTAAAATGTAAGACTATAAAGCCTCTAGAAGAAAGCATTAAAAAAAGATTTTGGACCTAAGGTTTGGTGAGGATTTCTTAAGCATGACTCATAAAAGGAGAATCTGAACATCATAAAGATTAAAAACTTTGGCCCTACAAGAACTCTTGTTAAGGGAATTTAGAGACATGAGCTACAGACTGAAAGAAAATATTTGCAAATCGTATATTTGACAGTTCATATCTAGAATGTATAAAGACTCTCAGATCAACATTAACCAAAAAATCCATTTGGATAATAGGCAAAAGACATGAAGAGATATTTCATCCAAAGGTACTTACAGCAAATAAGCACACTGAAAGATGTCACTATCACCAGCTGTGTTAGTCAGCTTTCCAAGGTTGTGACAGAATGCCTGAAACATCAGCTGCTAAGGAGGAAAGAAATCTCTTGGCTCAACGTTTCAGATGTTCCAACTAACCATGGTCAGTTGGCTGTGCTACTGCCAGCCTGTGGTAAAGCGGCGTGTGGTAGAGCAGAGCTGCTCACCTTACAGCCGCCAGGAAGCAGGCAAGAAGAGCAAGGGTGGAGGTCATGAGATCCCTTTCAAGGACATGGCCCCTGTGACTTCGACCCAGCTTCGAGGTCCCACTTCTCCCAGGGATGCCACAAGCTGGTGACCAAGCCTTGAGTACATGTCTTTTGGGGGACAATTTCAGATCCAAACCATAACACCAGCTTTTTGGAAATACAAATGAAAACCATGATCAGATATCATTATACACCCATCAGAATGTCTAAAATATAAAATAGTGATCATTAAAAATTCTGGTGGACAAGCCGGGCATGGTGGCACATGCCTGTAATCCCAGCACTCAGGAGGCTGAGGCAGGAGGATCGCTGTGAGTTTGAGACCAGCCCTGGGCTGCATAGTGAGTTCCAGGTCAGTCTCAACTACATAGTGAGTCCCTGTCTCAAAAAAACAAACAAAAAAAATTCTGGTGGACTTTCAGATAAAATCTCTCATCACTGCTGGTTGGAATACAAAAATGTACAACCTCTCTGGAAATCTGTTTAGCAGGGTTTTTGGGTTTTTTCCTCCCCCTTCCCCTTACTGGGGATTGAACTCAGGGCCTTTACACTAAGCTACTTGTCCAATGCCTTTTTAATTTTTTATTTTGAAACAAGGTCTCTCTGAGTTGCTGAGGCTTGGCCCGAACTTGTCATCCTCCAAGAGTGCTGGGATTACTGGCATATGCTGCCATTTCTGGCTCCATCAGGCAGTGTTTTAAAAGCTAGATTCTTAACTACCATATAACCCAGCAATTGCACTTGGGACCTTTATCCCAGATAAGTGGAAACATTTGTTCACACCAAACCCAGAGCAGTTGTATTCACAATAGCCAGTAACTGGAAAAAAGCACATAGCCCAATGTAAATCACATAGGACAAAATTGACAAATTTGTCTATATTAAAATTAAGGACTTCTGTCCAACAACAGTCACCTTGAAGAGAATAAGCTAAGCCACAAAGTGGGAGAAGATAGTTGTTATACGTCTGAGTGACAGAATGAGAAGGAATTAGTTTGATTATATATCTGTACACATATATGTACATTTTACATCATAATATGTTAAAGATAAAGCAATAAAATGGTAAACTCAGCTATTTCACATTAAAGGAAATATAAACGATCCGTAAATGTAGAGAAGATTCCCAACCCCGAAATGCACCACTTCACACCGTGCCCGTGCCTGTCCCGTGCGATGGCCAGGACAGAGCAGTGGTGACGCTGCAGTGGTGCCCGCAGGAGCCTGACTTGGCAGAGTCACTAGACCTACGCAGGACCTAGAAGCCGGTGGATAATGCCACACCTGGCACCTGGACCCGATGGCGTGAATTCACACCAGGGCTGTGCTTTCTGTGGTTGTTAAAGTGGTTTGTGGCCCTCCAAAGAGCACCTTACGTGAACAATACGCAGGTATGTTGCTGTGAGCATTTAATGGGAGTGGAGTGATCAGGGAAACACCGGGTGAAGGGCTTGTAGGGAGGGTAATGAGAAACGTGAGAAATACTAGCCCAAAGAAACTGCTGCTGACGTCTCGGGCAGTGTGTAGAGGTGTCCGCAGCAGGACCGTTCTTATCCGAGACAGAGTGTGCAGCAGCCCGCCTTCTGCAGGACAGCCAGGCTACTACTACGTGGGAAATATTCACTGAACACAAGACCACGCCTCCGTAAGAGTGAAGCTGCCACAGCTACACACAGTGGCATGGAGAGAACTCGGGAGATTGCTGCAGATGGTCAGCGCCGGGCAAAACTCAGTAGAAACAGATGCTGAAACACAAACAAGCGTGGGAATGATTTATAAAAAGCTCCACCTGTTGAGTAGCTCTAAAGGACAGAGAGGAATGGGATTAGAGAGTCACAGAGATAGAAAGCTGAGATTATGGTGTTTTCTTAAGCACACCAGCAAAGCTCTTTCTTTTATATTTCAAACTATATTTGCATGCAAATGGTGTATACTCTCTTTGTGCAATGTGATACACATAGTTGTCCCTCGATACCTGTAAGGCACTGGTTCCAGGTCTCCTGTGGATACCCAAATGCAACAGTGCTCAAGTCTCTTATGGTAAACAGTGTAGTAGTGAAATAGAGGACATGCAGCCTCTTCTGTACCTTTGGTTTGTTAATTTGTGTTTGGTGAATGCAGAGTCTTGCACATGGTAAGCAGGAGTTACAGCCCAACCTTCATCCATCCTCTAAATCCCCGCAGGTTACTACTTATAATATCTGCTATAATGTAGATTTTATCCAAGTAGTGGTTGTACTTCATTGTTTAGAAGAAAACGACAGGACAACGGCCTATATATAGTCAGTGCAGACACAATTTTTTAAAAAATATTTTCATTCTGAGTTGGGGCAAATCCTCAAGTGCAGAGCCCACAGATATGAAGGCTGGCTGCATACTTCATAACAAAACGTTAACATTTTTCTCGGAAGCCTTCTGTAGCTGACACACTGGTAAATGGTTCTGGCCGAGTTCGGGGGAGGGCCGGGATGCCATGCAGCGGGATGAATCCCTGCGCCCCTTTGTCTACCGCGCTGCAGTGGGCCCCGAGCAAGGACCGGCAGTGTGGAAGCCAGACGAGGGACCCTTCCAGCCAGGCCACGGTTTGGCAACAGGGATGGCCTCAGAAACTAGCTCCCAACCTTCCCCTCCTCTCATGGAAGAAGCACCTGTCCGAAAACCGTCCAGCTCCTTTCCCACATAGTCCCGCTCACCCTTTCCAGCCATCTCCTCTTTGTAAGCCGCTGTCTCTCCTTCCAGCAATGCCGGATGGAACCCTGGACACCGCCATCCGCGCTGAAGAGGCGGGGAGCGAGGAGGACCTGTACGAGGACCTGCACAGCTCCAGCCACCACTACAGCCACCCCGCAGGGGGTGGGGAGCAGCTGGCCATCAATGAGGTAGGGTGAAGTCCAGGTGGGTAGAGGGAGTAGAGCGGGACCCACGGTTTGGCGGAAGTGCACCAGGTGTAGACGGCTGTCTCAGGCGCGTGCCGCAGCACCACTGCATGGTGCCACTGTTCTGCCTTGGCTCTCACCGTAGGGCGTGGTGTCCAGAGCAGAATGCCTACAGTCGCACAACTCCCCATGCCCGCCTGGGCCCAGGGAGGGCAGCTGTGCAGGTACAGGACATCGTACAGTTCCTCCTGCCGAGGCTTCCCTGGGACAGCCCTGCAAAGTGTCCTGGTGGGAAAAGGCCGCCCAGTCACTCTAGTCTGGATCCTCGAAAAAGCTGTGGGAACAGACTGGGGACAAAGCAAGGAAAATTGACTTTTCTGCAGGGGCTTCCAAGAGCCCAAAGTGTTGCTGTTCCTCTGACAACTGTGTGACAAGTAAGATTTTTGCTATTCCTCCCTAAGTCAAAGAAATTAGTGCAAGAGTTCGTCTGGGACATACTGGTTTCCATTCCACATTCTCTTTTTGCACTCTCCAAGAAGGCATTTTAAAATATTTTTAAGTTTTTCCACCACCTGCCTTGACAGTACAAGGTCCTGAGTTCAATCCTCAGTTCC